GTTTGGGGACAGTGACAGACACAGCAGGGTGAGAGCAGCAGCACAGCCTCACCTGCAGCACAAAACTGCCCAAATCCTTAAATGCTCCCTCCTCTCTGGCCTGGAATGGGGAGATGGGATGGCCAGGAATGGGACAGGAGCAGGGCACGGTGGAAATGCCAACAATGAAGAGCTGGCTCGGGATGGCACTACAGAAATGGGGCATGGCAGTGGCTGACAGGGAAATCCCAAACCTGCACTGCCCTGACTGCCCCAACAGAGCAGACATCACCTGAAAGGCAGCAGGAGTCCACAAGGAGAGAAGCAGTCCATGCTCTGAGGCCTCAGGTGTACTTACTTAAAAAAAACAAACCATAGACATGTGCTTCAAATTCTTCTAACAGTGCACTGCTAACTGCACAACCAAAATCTGTACATGGGAAGCCTTCTCCAGCAGTATAAAACCCACGACACACTGAGGAACTTATCTTTGCTGATGTCAGGAGGRAGAAAATTACTTTAAAACCCTTATTTTAAAAATTGAATTCAGGAAGTAAAATAACTTATAAATATACTTCGAGCAGTTGGGTAAAATAAAACAGAGGAACAGCATTTTTTTTTCAATTCATTATTCACTTTATGGAGAAATTTACAAAAATTTCAGAAGGACTGACATTTATCATGTCAAGCATCTTCTGTGCAGAGACACAAACTGCTCCCTCCCTCGAGATCAGCCCTTTTCAAACCCTGCACAGACAYTGAGCACTGTGTCAGTCACTGGGGCAGCATCCAGGCACCTCTCAGAGACACCAGGGAATTTTATAGTGAGGCAGCAGAGCTTTGCCTGTCCAGTTCCATCTGAGCAGCATTCTCGGAGAGAATAAACACCCATCTGTTGAGAAGAAGGTGTGTAAGCACAYGGTTTGCTCACCTAAGATGGTGTTTTCCTCATCTCTGGGGAGGAGGGATGAGGGTTTTGTTTGTTCTCAGTGTGGTTTGGTGAGGCAAGCACAGACCAGGGGATCTGAGCCTCTCCTGTACTGCAACTGCAGACATACAAAACTAAAAAAACAGTCCCTAGCCCCACCTGCACGTGGGGTAAGGATTGGTCCCAAATTTAGTGAGAGGAACAGTGAGAGGACCCTTCCTGGCTACTGAACACGGCATGAGGGTGTGGGAGGAGGGACAGCAGCACCACCAGACTGTGCCAGCCCTGTCCCTGTGCCACCCTCACACCAACCCTGTGTGGCCAGAACGGGCTGGGGCAGGGCTGCTGCTGCCCAGGACAGCATCCCATAAAGATGGATGGATGGATTCCCCATGCTGATGGGCACCAGGTCCCCACAGGCACAGCCCAGGCTTCCAAAGGAGCTATGACAAAGCTCAGCCTCATCCTTTCAGCTCCAAGAATCGCTGCACACATGGGAYCCTCTGGATGGGGCTGAGCCCTGGGGCTGGACCCTTTCCAGGTCCCTGATGKTYCCTGAATGTTCAGAAGCTGAGGGAAGCTGCCCCTTCCCCCTGTGCAGAGATTGGCCACCATCAGCCACCCTCAGAGGTTACTCCACACGCAGGAACTCGGGGCATCCTCTGCATTCCTTCTCYTCCCATCCCACAAGAAACAATCAGGATAAAAATCCTCACAATCCAACCTCTGCAGCTCATCGTGCACATGAAATACTGAACAAAGGGATTCCTGCCACATCTCTGCTCAGGACACAGGGCAGGTGACTCGCCCAAGAGGAAGGGGTTCACTTACCTCTGTGGGAAAGCATTCAGAGCAGGCACGAGTCCTCACCAAACTGGGTAAGCTGAAAATCCCATTTTTAACAGAATAGGGTTAACTGGGTTTAACAGAAGCATTTGCTTGGGAATCCAAGCAAAAATTCAAGTTATCACTGTGTATGCAGTGGACAATAGTCCAGTCAATATCTATTACCAACTCACTCTAAAAAAATTACACACTACAAAACCATCTCACTGCTTGCAGCAAGTGAGCTTGAATGATTTCCTAGTAACAGGCCACCACCCTGCACTGTTAAAATGTGAGGTTTCACAGTATAAAAAAGTACTTCACAGAAAGGAAATGCAGCTAATATAGAAAATGCCATCTGGATGTGTTTACAGTCATTTTTTAAGAGGCAATATTTTTTGGGAAAGCGAGAACAACAATAATTAAAGCAGCCAGTGAGAAATGTACAGGGTTATAGGCCTCAWTTCAGTGCAAAACCAGACTAATAGCTTATGTAAGTAAATGTTTGTTCTGAACAGAGAACCACCTGAATTAAAAGTAAGAACACCTATGTGAAGTGATGGAGACTCCCACGATATTCAAATCCTTCACATACATCATCAACCTTTTCAGTACACTCCAGAATGGACCCTTTGTAAAGGCAAAAGAAACCAGTACAGGAAATCACTTCATACAGCACAAGATATACAGAAAGTACCAAAATGTACACACATTCAAGTTTAAGTTAGAAAAGGCAGAGCTGAATCTCCTGGTGAGAGAGGCCTACATTATGTTGCTTAATCTCAACATTCAAAGTGACCTAAAAYCTACAAGAATCAAAGAAAACAGAATATTGTGTCTGCTTTCAGAAACTGAAGCTTAAAGCAAGGCATCGAAATTGAGCRGTAGGCACTGTAACGAGACACCACCTTACCTTTTCTCTGTTAGTCTTTGTTATTTTGTTATCTATTGAAAAATTACCATTCAAAGGAAATATTATGTATCATTCACATTCAAATAGTTGAGACTCAGAGATTTTTTTTTTTTTTTAAAACAAGCAAAATTTTTATCTCTGAGGTAGATGACAATAAAATAAAAATAAAAAATGGAGCTGTCAATAAACACTAACAGTGCTGGAGCTCCTCTGCTGGCACTGATGCACCCCAAAGAGGAGAGAGCAAGCTCTACACCACTATCTGAAACATGAGGAATGTATCTTCTGGTTTAGTAGCTTCTACAGAAATGCAACACAGAAAAAGCAGCGCCAAAATTACACTGAAATGGCCTTGGAGAAGAAGAGCTTCCATTTCTGCTTCGCGAGCTACTCAGAGAAGGGTGGAAACATGCCCAGGTCAGCGAAATCCTCGATGTTGTAATTGCCAGTGCCCTGTGTGGGATCCCCCGGCATCGGCAGCATGTCCTGCACGGGAGGAAAAATCACAGTGTCACTTGCAACACATTATCCACACACATTATTCCTGCTCATCTTTTCGGTGTAAAACCAAAAAAGGCCACGTTTAGATAAACAAGGTGCMAACCAGACCCTTGCAAGGTTTCTGTGCTGCTCTTTGCTGGGTTGTTTCTGAACAAGCGGTGGGACTTGAGCAGGGCAGAAGTTTTGGATTGCTCCTCTGAATAAAACACATTTGAGCTGCCTCCTCCTCCTCCCAGACTGAAACAGCTCCTCTTGGAATGGACAGCTACCCATGGAGAAAAGCAAACTCCCAGGTTTCACTGCATGGGGAGTATAAAATATCTCCCACCCTGGAGCTCCTGATGTAAGGATGGTTTGGGCAGCATCTCCCACCCTGGAGCTCCTGCTGTGTGAGGATGGGTTTGGGCAAAGTCCCAGCTCCTCCCCAGCCCTCTCTGGTGACCAGAGAAACCCCCAAGGCTGGACATCACCCCAGCTAACGAGATGCCCAAGCAGCTTCATGAATGCACAGAGGCAGAGGAAATAGCAGCAATTTCTCAGGAAAAATGGGATTTCGTGGTAATTGCTCTCACGTGTCTTGAGCCAAGTGAGGTCTCTGCAGGAGCCTTCAAAAAACACTCAACCTTTCCTCTCAGCTGGAGACTGAAGCCACAGGGAAAAGATATCCCTTGCTGGGAAAAGCAGAGTTTACTCTTGCTTTTCCTGTCAGTCCRTACAATAACAAGCTCTTACCGCAAAGCTAAGTCTTGCCAGGGATGGCTCATTATCCTCACAATAAAACAAAACCATAAAAACAAATAACAAAGCTCACGGGATCTGCTCTGTGAAAGAACAGCTGAGAGCTGCTGCACACTGGGAAGTTCCCCAGAAATAAAGATGGATCAAAATCCATCTGAGGTCTTCACAGCATCCCTGGCAATGTGGAGAGACTGTGAACACAACTGGCACGCTYTGAGCTGCCAGGGTGAGCCTTCATTTTCTGACCGAAACTTGGACTTATTTGATGTTTTCCCACATCCTCTCCCAGCCAAAGGGAAGCTGTAGCTGACCCCTCCTGTCTACATTTCCACCTCTGAAGGCATTTCTGCTGCTGGGCCTCTGTGGCAAAGTCCCCTCTTGAGTCTGCCTCTTTCCCTAAGCCCAGATAACCCAGGGCTGCCCTGGGCACGAACAATCCAAGCAATTCTCAGAGGCCTTAGAACTCAGCCAAGTTTCTGATCACATCCAGCTGTTATCCCAATTCCCTCCAAAGAGCTCACCTCCAAGAGTTCTGCACATGAGCCCAGCTCTCCTTYCATCCCATGATCATCCTTTGCACTACACGAGGAGTTTGGTAAAACACAAGGAAAAACCTGCTTGGAGCCACCAAACCATGCTCCACAGGAATAATCCTGACTATCCTTCTGGACTTTGCAGTTGTGCAGATGAACTCACTGTCCAAAGATAAGGAGCTGCCCCATTTCTAAACCTTTCTTGGGGCTCCAGCTGTCTTTCCTGCATTTATCTGCATTGTTCTCTTGCAAACTCATGTCTTCTTCATCTAATTTACAAACCATACAAGGACAGATTTKTTATTAGTCAACTTACAAAGTCCTGCTCTATAGTAGGGCTTCATTGTCTGTAGTCAAGGCTCAGAATTATATTTAATTAGGTAGTTGAAGATGATTGTTTATCACCTTTCTGGGATCTGAGTTAAACCTTAAAAAATCATTGGCCGCTATCTTCTATGCAGTATCAGACTCCTTTCCTGCTGGAACTATCAAAGAGAATGACACTGATATCAAATTGAACTTGAGATGTCAGAGGCCAGCACGGGATAAGAAAGACCCTCACTGGGGAATATTTCATGGGTTCTCTACAGAAGATGTAAGCCCTAAGTGTGGGGTGCAGAGAGAAGRGAAAACAGCATTTCACCTCAGCTGCTGTGGCAGAAACCCGAAGCACCTCAGCAAAGGGCAGCTGACAGAGAGCACAGCTATGGCACCACGCAGCAGGAGGGGACTGCTCCAGGCCCTGATCCTCGAGGGTCTCAGCTCTAAATCACAACTGAGCTGCTGTCAGAGGGACTGTGGGCTCACTGAACATTCCTTACCTGGAACACCTCGGTCTGGCTGGGCTGGGGGTGCGAGTGCTGGTCACTGCTCTGCTGGTTGTGGTGCTGGCTCTGCCACTGCGACCACACTTCAGATGGTCTGCCCTGGAACTGCCCACTGCTCTGGCCACCTTCAGCTGCAGGGGGAGGAAGGGCACAGGTCAGGGCAGCTCCTCCAAAACACCTGGATCTGCAAARGAGCCTYGGAGAAAGGTCTTGAGTGACACCAGCCCCAGGGGAAGGAAGGGCACAGGTCAGAGCAGCTCCTCCAAAACACCTGCCTGTTTTGGGGCATTGTCCATCAGCACCTGGATCTGCAAAGGAGCCYTGGAGAAAGGTCCTGAGTGATACCAACCCCAAGGGGAGGAACCTGGGGGAGTTTTGGCTGCACAGCCATGGCACTGAACTGCCCACAGCAAAATGCACAGACACAGCCAGCCAGGCACTGCAAACAATTTTCAAGCATTCATCCCTTTGTTTTTTAATTAATAATAAGGAGGTATTTTCCATTTCACTTAAAAACTTAACTCGAGCATCTGAATGCTCTTTCTCTTGCAAAGACTGAATTCTTGTGCAGTTTGCTGCTCATCTAAGAGGCATGAAACGAAAACCAGGAGTAAGAGACAGAAACACTATGATCAACAGACAACAGCCYTGCTGATTAAATACAGGCATTGCTGGACTCTCTTGTCCTCCAATGATACAGCTGTAAAATGATTTATTTAATATGCAGTTCATAGCAAATCATCCTGTCAATATGGTGTACTTTCCAAAAAGCACGAGGCCATCTACTTTTAATAGAGTGACATGAATAGCAAAGATTTATGGTAAAGACACTTAAAATTATGATTTCAAGGAGATGAATTTCTTCTAAATAGTAAAAAAGCACGTTGCCACACACTAATTTGGTTACCTATTACACATACATTTTTCGTGAGTACAGWAACAGATTACAGTTAAGGAGGACTCATTTTACCCTGCATTTCTACAGACTGACACTGAATTATAATATTTTTGGATAATTTTCCATTCATTAATTACAATATCTCCTAAGAATTAGTATTTTTGAAAGTTTGCCACCAGGTTTATGCTTTTCCTTGAAACATTTCCTCTTCTTTTTATTTTTTTTTTTTAATGTTTTTCTGTATAACTGCTCCAGTTATTTTTGCCTGTTTCCCTCTCCCAGCAGAGGATCAAGCTGTGATTGTCTGGTTTTTCCTGATGGCCAGCATCCCCTGCCAAGGGTGCCAACTCCCACACCTGTGCTATGCCAAGGCTTTGAGAGCCAGACTCAACCACGTCAAATCAGCCACTACTCATGGATGGCTTCAGAAAATACCAAAACACTTGATTAACCCAGGCCCTTTGGCTACCAGCTAAGCCATGCAAAACAGATAAAGAGAATGTTTTACAGGAAAATAAACAGGCTGCAGTGAAGCATGTCTATCACATCCAAAGGAGATGATTACAGCTCTTCCCTTACTGACATTAYCACAACCAGTAACTCAGCTGACTCAAAAAACCCCGCAGACATTTTTAAGGGCCAAAATAAAATTCCTCCAAGTTACCCTTTAAAATCAAGCTGCAAACTTGTTTGGGTTTAATTTTTTTTTTCCCCTCAGAACAATACTTTGACACGAAGTGAGTGAAGTAAATGCTGCTTGTTTCCAGCAGCACAGCTCGTGCCAGCCGGCGGCCGAAGCCGTCTCCGCTGTGTTATTAATAGCACCCAAACTGATGTAGGTCAGGAGATGTTTCTCATTAAGGGAAAAGGGTTCTTGCCAAGGAGCTTAAGCCTGAAATACAAGGCTATCTCATAAACAAATGTGCAATGCCTGGTGGAAATGGAAATGGAGGCAGGAATGAGCCGTGTGGGAAGAGCTCCATSTCCGTGCCCTTTTTGCCAGATCTGCTCCCCAGGGACGGGGGAAAACAAAACACATCAGCACACTGCTACCTGGGCTTTTTGGGATTGCACATTAGTATCAGCTAGTGGATTTTTTTATGAAAACCACCGTATTTTTTACTTTTGAATATTATTTTTCTGGTGGAGTGCAGAAAACTTACAAAGGGGTTACCTACTGGGTCATGGTCTGGAAGCCACTAAATTAGAATGTAATAGGAAAAGAAAACCACTTCAAAACATGGCACCTACTCTGATTACGTTAGTAGCAGTGGGGGTACAAAATAAATCCTGTTTCCAGCCAAACTCCAACATGCAATCTCTGAGCAAGAGGACATTGTCATGAAGAAGGTAAAAAATGAAGAAAAAAAAAAGCAAATGTGTACCTTTTAAAAAAGAAATTGAACAAGCTGACCACAATTTGGGAGGATGGTTAGTAGTGATACAAGCAAATTCTGAACATTTCAGGATGTCATTTACTGGGAAAATTATAAAAAAGTTCCATCATGGCACAAAATGACACAAAATTCTGAGGTGTGTTGGATGCAGCACGGAGGGAACAGCTCAGCTCTGTCCTCTCTACTCAGCAGCAAAAAGCAAAACCCTCTCACCACCTGGACTTTCTGACCCACCAAAAGGACAGGCTGGAGGAATTCTGCTGAATGCTGATGAGTTTTATTTGTGTGTTAGCTCGTTTAGGACTTACCAAAGGCTGCACTTCTGTTTGCTAGGCTGGAGTAGGCGTTGCCACTGGGAGAGGAGGTGGCAGGGCTGGACAGAGGGCTGTAGGACGAGGGATCTGCTGGGTACGAGTGACTTGTCCCAATTCCAAAGGGAGACGACTGAGCCTTGCCAGACTGAGATGCAATTTGCTGAGGAAGAAAGGGTGAAAGAAGGAAGAGGTTTTATTGTTGAGGAACAGCACTGCAAAATCCTTTTTACAACATAAAGAGAAGATAAATAAACTCTGTGGATGCCAACAGGCACGATTTTCCTGTCTCAGCCTTATTTCATTTCTATCCCAGCCCAGCTCACTGCTGCAGAAGGAACACAACAGGCTATAAACCAAACTTACAGCTCTCCTGCTGATTAGCTCACATGTACTCTGTATCAGAGCTGCTTGGAAAACCAGGATTTCCTTCACCACTGTTATGAGGATTAATCTCAAACCGAACAAGTATAGAGTATTCACCTTTATTTGCCAGGTGAATTGATTTTGCAGTGCCACAGTAAAATCAGTTACCTGAATGCTTTGCAGGACACATGCAGGTGTCAGAGTCTCCAGTGCTTGGCACTAAATGGCCAAAGAAGTTTCAAATCTAATGAGCTGCTTTCCCTCCCTGCCTATGAAATAGAGGCAGCAGTGATTCTGCCTTGGAAAAGGCTTGGAAGGGTGAATCACCAGACCCTGGGAGAAGGGAACAAACAGTCTAACACTGCTTTAATTGGGCAGCTGAGTTAATTCAAAGGTAGTAAAACCCAGCTTGCTGTCACTTCACCTGCTAATGGCTCTGTCACAGATCTCCCAGGATGTCACACAAATGATTAAACACTGCAGAGGCTGATTTGAGACATGTACAGCTTGTGTACTGAGACTAAAGGGTGAAGAGTTCCCTCCAAAGCCATGTGCTAATGGATCCTGCTACAGACAGCATCTGATTATAAACCATGTCCCACACAGTGAACAGCCCAGCAATCCCAAAAAAAAATCACTGCATAACCAATCCCAGCAAGAGAAATTCAAGGTGATGACATCTCTGGATATCTGCAATGATTTGTTACTGGCAATTAATGCAAATTAAGCTGTTCTTCCCTGGAAGAGGGGAAGGGGAAAGGRGCTGAATCTGTTCCTGGATTTGCACTTGTCCCTTCTGCCCACCCAGGATGGTGGGTGACACTGCTGGGTGCAAGGTCCTGGTCCAACAAAGATTTAATTCACAGGTTTGATACTAAAGCAGAAGATCTGCTYTTTTTCCTTCATCCAGGGCACACASGAAACAAATTCAGGACAAGACCTTGCACTGGGATATGGGTCAGCACAAAAGGGACACCAYCCCAAAGTGGGTGCAGTGACACGTGGGGCAGCAATGAGGCACCARTTCCCCCCCAAAACACAAATTAATTACAGCCAGGGTTCACCAACTCCTTTGTGAAAAGCACAGAGATTGCAAAYCTTGTAAATAAAGCTGAAATGAATACCTGTCCTGGGAAAGGAGGGCGATTTCCTGTCCAGGCCACCTGGCCCTGGTTCAGCTGTCGGGATATCTGGCTCAGGTTCTGCCCACTGGAGGATGARGACTGGATGTCATTGACACCAGGCACGTGAACCACAGAGGAACTGAGGGTGTAGAGCACAAACAGAGCTCAGCTGTAGCTTTGGAGCTGTGTTCCCAAAGCACAAATCGTATTCCAGACACAGAAATACTGACAATACATTCAAACTATCTGGATAAAAAATGACTGAATGCCATCACAAAACTACGGAGAATATTGGCATTCTGAAATGTCAGTTCTAATAGACACAGCGGGCAAAATTATTTTGAATTAGACTTCAGTGATCTCTTGGAAAGGGCTTCTGAGAGTAGTAAGTCCCACAGTGCATGCACACTTCTAATTTAACATTTAACACATTAAAAATCCTGCTTGAAGAGGCTATTCAAGGWGGTACTTCATCGTAAATTTGTGCTCAAAGTCAACAGTATTTAAGCACTTGCTTAAATGACATTTTAAATGAAGATGGGCACAAAAAATGTTGCTTATAAGCACTTTGTTATTTGTTTCCTGCCTAGGAAATGAAGAAGTAGGTGCTATTTATTAAAAATACAGGCTTTGAATTCCTTTTTTCACCAACTGATGCTAAAGAAGAACAGGCAGTTATATACCCAGGCAAAAGAATAACCAAGACAGGAAGTTAAACTCATATAGTAACTTTGGAGCACTAGTAGTAAAAAGAAATAATATTTTTAAGGAACTTTTTTATATGCTAGCTGTTTTCTAATTAATGAATTTCACGGGAGAGAAATACCCAGAAATTCCTAATAATAAGAAAAATTTAATGAAAGAACTGCTCCACTTCACCATTTCATTCTCACAGATGTCTTGAACAACGGAATCTGCACAATCACACACTGTGACTGTACTTTTATATATAAAAACATTTTTTACATGTCATATATAAATGAATATAAATGAAGACAGCACACAAAACCACTTTTGTGCATCCACTGAAACAGCTTGTTCTTTTCTCCAGTTCYTTCCCTACTGTTTATTTGCACAATCTTACAGAGAAAGAAGASAGCAGATTGGGAAAAGAAGTAAACAAGGCCCAAACAGAGAGAAAACAGGAATTTGAATCCTTGGAGAAAGCTGACAGAACCCTCCCAGAGTGTAACCAAAACGTGGCAGGCATTTGAATATGGGAGTTGTTATCCTGGCCTTCTTACGCTGCCTAAAAGGAAAGTGTATGTTTAGAAATTCTTTGTAGAGTTTTTCTAATTTAAAAAAAATATATTWTATTTTTATTTTTTACTATCACAGTCTCCAAAGAGGGAAATGTAGACCAGAAAGTCCATCCAAATCTGGCTGCTGGGGAGGGTTGGCAAATCCTTCTCAGCTGGACTGGCAAGTCCCACAATCTAAGGAGCTTGGGCTGGATCTGGAACATTTCCTTTGAAACCAGAATTCTGCAGAATTGTGCCTAAAGGCTGCCCAGGCTCTGCCTGCACGAGCCAGGCTGGAGAGTGTTCAAAAAGGACACTTCAGGGAGAGTGGAAATGCTGGCAGAAATGCAAACCATTACTCCATGTAACAGAACAGCAGCAGGAAAAAAGCTACAGTTAAACATCAGGAATTAGCACAGGAAACCAACAGGACACACGCCAAACCCCAAGATGGCAAGTCAGCCACCCAGTCATTCACAATATCCAATTAAAAGGCATTTTAATTTACTCTCCTATCTCCCCAAGTTATGCTTGGTTTTAATTTGACAAAACACTCCCATGGATCTTATTTCTCCCCACTGAGATTACGAGCAATTACAACTTTAGGAACACATTGGTTTAAATAAAATCAGTGTTTGCCAATGTTTTCCAGMTCCTGGAACTGAGGAACATCTGAATGGCTGTTCCTTCACTTTCACAGCCTTGGTTGGTCTGTGCAGAACAAAATTCCAGTGAGACAGTGGTGATACCACCAGCACTAAGGTAAATACAACTGCTCTTACCACTCTCCAAAAGTGACTGGAAATGAAGACAAACTTCAGATTAGGCAGATTAAACCTGTATTGCCAGCTGGKAGGCAATGACACACACTCAGAATAACTCAAAAATCACCAGCAGTGAAGTGTGCAAAGAGTAAAACACATTAATAAAAAAATGTAAAGAAAGTTCTTGCACCTCGGGTTGGTTTTGTTTCCACCAGACTGAAAGGGGACAGTCCCCCACACTCAGAAACTGAAAAGGGGAGAGTCCCTCACACTCAGAAAGTGATCCCCACAGTTTCTGGAATAATCACCTGAAAGTCTTTCCMGAGTGTCCTGGCTGAAATGGGCTTCCTTGTGAGTAAAGCTGCTGATTTCCTGCTGTGGATGCAGAAGCCATCATTTTTTTATCTGCTACAAGAGAAACACAAATCACAGAAAAAAATATTAATTTAGGGAATGAGATAACGAAGGAAATATTATTCAGAGACAATTACAATGAAGTTTTCTTTCCTTCTTCAAGCTTCATGAAGGAGCCCTGTGGAACACATTAGGAATGACACAAAATTCAGTGTGGAACCAAGTCACATCAAATTCCCTCACAGGAACCTTGGAGAGGGATTGGGGATGCCACTGATGCAAACTGTCATTGCTTGTCCTTTGTAATGCAGAAATTGCTCACTGGCTATCTACAGAAACCAAGGCTGGGCTGCAAAACTGAATATTAAAAAAAAAAATATTGTCATATTAAAAAAAACAAAACAGGGAGAAATGGGGACAAGGTCTAGAGAAGGCTGTGCATACAGTAGGAAGAATTGAGAATGGGATGGGATATCCATCTATCTGAGAAGAAGGACAGAAGACWTTGTCTTTTTCTGCAATAATGTCATTCTTGCATGAGATGTCCCATTTCCTAAGGCCACCCTTTGCAGGGACACCAAACTCTCAGGGCTGGAAGAGACCGAGCCAAAATCCTGCGGGTGCTTTAGATATTTGAGAACAACTCACCAGAAAAATTGAGAGTGCCCCAAATGAACTGGAATTMCTCCAGTGCAGCAGAGTTGCCATGGCAGCTACCAGGGTCTGTGCCACAGGATGAGGCCAAGACAAAGGGAACAGCAAAACTAAAAGCAAGCAGCTCATTCTCCTTCCTGAGTTACCCTGAATGCTCTTTGGCCTCTCAATCTGGCCCACATCTCTCCCAGCTCTATTCCTACTCAAGGCCTCACACAATTCTCTTCTCTCACCTTTGCTACAGCACTGATTTTTTTTTTTTTAATTGGTGTGCTTTACCTGCTTCTCTCTAAACTACACCACTGGACTGGTCAGTGATGTCTTCTCCCAGCAGGACCAGAATTTCCAACGTTTCTGCCTCTAGACTGGATCTCTTTCTAAGAACTGCATCATCCTGTGCTTGAATCAGTAAAGTCAGGCTTCCTCTCCCAGCTTTTGGGGTTTTAATTCTGTGTGGCCACTACCTGCAATTATAGGAGCAATTTCCTATAATTTTTTTTTCCCAAATTTTTACAGAACGAGCTCGGGTATCAACATAATGCAAATGTCTGGCAGGCAGCGTGCAGGCTTGTCAATATTGCTTTTGGACAGGATATCCYATCCCTAACTGAGAACCATCCTTTATCATCCAGAGGAGACCTTGATCACAGCCCCCACGAGAAATTCAGGGAGGGAGAATGTCCCAAAAAAAGCACAGCCTGGAAATTGATAAAAATGAAGAGAGAAATGGCATTTCCAAGAACACGACCTCGCAGCCACCTCACAGCTTGCGACAGCCTTCACCACAAACAGCAAGAGCTGCCTGAACCACAGCCAACAAGGCAGCCAAAAAGCAAGATGTTCTTGCTTGGAAAAATACATTCTGGTGTTTAGGGTTGGATTCTTGCTACCTTCTAATGGACCCTTTTATGGCCTCAGCTGTTGAATTCACTGTTAGAATAAACAGACGAGCACGAACAGCAACAGCAGAGAAGTCCCAGCACCAGGAGGATGGATARTTGTAACTGCAGTTACAATTTCTTCTGCATTTGAAAAAGCCAACCCAGAGCTAAGAAACCAACAGAGTGGGGTCACCTTCCAACACCCCTGCAGTCAGACCCTGTGGGTCGTTTCCTCCGTGCGCTGCGTGACGCTTGCACATTGATTTATTTAAAACAAATGGAAAAATTCCTCTTTTTTTCAGCAGGGATGGTTAAGAACAATAAACAACCAAGGAATTCCTYCACAAGCAGTGGAATTAATGAGCCTGGTTTGCTATGGATATATTTTGGGTGATCCCTTCAGCTGCCAGTCTGAGTGATTTCTGTCTGTTGGGGCAACAGGCAGCTCAGGATGGGGATGCTTTGAGACAGCTCTGACAAGGTGGCTGTCACCTCTTGGAACAGAGCTGGGAAATCCTTCAGTGACAGCATTAGTAACCACTCTGTCCTCACTTTTTGTAATTTCCAAGGAATACAGAACAACATTCTGCTCCYGAGACTCCTATCACTCTTAGAAGAACTTGCTAAAAAATTTAAAAGTTGTGGGAAAAAGAGCAAGGACTCCTCAGAGCAGGTAACATGACTGGAGATGCCTCAATTGATGAGAAAATAAGTGTCACTGCATTTCAAGGCAGTACATGCATCTGAAAGCATCGATACAAAAGCTGGTGATCTGACAAAAATCTGCAGSCTACCTTAAGGCTGTATGGTAACTTTCTTAATCTATCCTATCTGGAGAAATGAATTTGTCTGGAGAAATGAATTTGTTTATGCCATTTAAGAAAGAAAATATATATTTAGAAATGGAAAGTTCTGTTCAGTATATTWAATATCTAGAGCACTGCCTACAGTGTCCCTGTGAAATTAAGAGAATCAGAACCAGGTGGCTCTGGTGACACAAAACCCATCATTTCCTCCTTGAATTTACTCCTATCATCTTTAGGGCAACACCAACTAATCAGAAATGCTARGAAATGTCCCAAAGACTTAGAAAATTCCCTGCCTCATTGCAGTTTCTCTTCATTCTCTTGAAGCTGTGTTCCACATCATGTAACCAAGCTTAACACAGTATTAAAAATTAAACATCAGGGACATTCACTTACAAGCAGTTATTCCAGCAAACATCTCAGCAAATCTAGGATCTCTCTCTTGGGAGAAGATAGCATCAGGCTTTTCCACAGACTTTCCACCCTCGTGAACATTGGCTGGTATACTTGGAACAGGCACCTGTTGAGACACACAGAGCAAGGTAATTCCCTCTAACATGAATTCAGGGACAGTCACAATGTACTTTCAGTTCTGCTGAAATCTGCTGCTGTTTTACATTTTAAATGATCAGAGGCACAAAAAGAAAAATCTGAGAAATTTCACCTGAGATAAGTCATAGGATGACAGCCCATCTCTTTGATGTACTTCGAGTTCTGCTTGCTGCTGCTGGAGCTGTCTGCAAGGGARACAAAATGACTTTCTTAGAAAAACCAATTAAGATACAAAAAGGAATAGTCACRGTCTCCTGTTTTATACAGGTGATTTACCAAATCCTTTCCTGTGAGATCCATCTGTTTTTACAGCTTTCTCATCGAGAAAACCTGCACCACAGGAATGCAACAGGGCATAGGAAGGRTTTTGCTGTGACAGCACAGAAACGTAGGTGAGTAAGTAATGGAGGATAGAATACAATGTCTTTATAAATGATTTTAAATTCACTATTTCATTGTCCTGCTCATATTAATGATGAACACACCAGACCCCCTCTCTGATTCTGCTGAAGGAAACAGTAAGATCCTCTCCAGGTAATGCCTGGACAATGACAAAACACCTCAGCAGCGGCAAAATGATCCAGAAGTTCTGCACCGGCCATTAACACTCATTTTCTATTTTCTGTTCTTGATCACAATGAGCAAGAAAACTTCTGGCCWGGGGATGCACAGGTAGAACCCTCATCTCTGAGGGGCTCTTGGCTCAGTTAGTTAAAAAGATAWAAATCCCCTAATCATGCTAAAGCTCAGAGATTAGGATAAGACTGAACTGACGAAATGCTTGGATTTGATATTAGTAAATGATCCTTGACAGTGCTCACAGTTTTTTTATGTTTCTGGCTTCTTTCTGAAGGAAAAATCAGGAAACACACACCATGTGGGTCTTTCCCCAGAGACACAATACTTGGAAGGCAGCAATAGATGAGATTTTKCAAAACAGCAAGATCATGGATTTGAAACTCTGGAAAATGACAATATATTTTTAGTCACAGGCTTAAATTCTAGATTTTCATCCAAATCTTTTAAATTTTGAAGTAGATAGGTTCAAATGSCAAGGGACTAAAAGAGAAACTTGCAGACAAAGTCAAATGACAAATTAGGCACAAAGTTGTGGAAATSTGAGGAAAAGCTACTGAAGTAAGGAACAGATTTTGCCATCCCTTGAAGCTTTTCCAGAAAACCCTTTGCTCAGTTACTATGGTCCATGGCAAAAATCTGTGACCTGCWACAAACAGGAGGTCAGAGTAAGTGGCCAAAAGCCTTCTGGAAGCCTTACAGTGCCAGAACACATAATACAGGGAATCACTTTTACCTAGGAGTAACRTGGAAAAATTTGCAGTACTCCAGGTCATTAGAGAGCCATGGATTTTCCCTATTATTTTAGCTAACAGAAAATTCCTAAAAATTACCTCTGGAATGCAAAGACATTCTTTGTTCAAAAGCATAAAATGCATACTTTTCCAGCWGAACTCTGGGAGGCAATTTAATCACGAGCAATCTATGGGGAAGTTTCTAAATCCCACCCCACAGACAATAAACACCCATTAAACCCATCGTTAAMGTGCAAGCTAATTACACTGTTTCATTTGTTTTTATTCCCACCAGCTCATGTGTGTGTCAATAAACAGCACGTTAGGTCTCCTCTGCTCCTTATAAAATATGTTTTCTTGATTCTGCCATATCCACAGCAATGAGCCAAGCCAAACAGCACACAGGCTCGTTATTTGTTTTGTAGGCACTTCTCTAACTCAGTGCTCCTTCACCCTTCTCTATCTTTCATCTCTAATTCTCATTAAGTTGTGGTACAATATAAACASCACGTTGTGTTAACAGCACTGAACTTTGGGAGCAACCTCCTAAAATCCAGTTCCTATAAAAACCAAAAGTTGCATGCATCTTTACTGAATTCTGTGCAAGCTATGCTGCACTTAATTAAGACTGAAATGCCAAGGCAGGGCAGCATCTTCTGTTGTTGTTGGCTGCTGCTGGATAAATAGTTTAAATGGGGTTTGAAACCTGAAAAAAACTGCAGCAATTCATGGAGCAGTTCAGGGCTGCTGCTGGGGCTGCTCCAGACCCTGCATCTCACCAGCCCAGGTTCCTTCAGCCACCCAAATGATACACAACAAGGGATTRGCATCAGTTTGGGCAGAACTCAAAGTGCCTTCTGACTTTGAACCCAAAACCCGTCCTTGGTTTCAATTTCAGCTTCAAGGAGTAAATGAAAGAMATTTCATTTCACCAGGCTCTACAGGAAAGCCAACAGAGCAAGTGAGGGATTGCCTGGGTCAACAGAGGATTCTGCAGCCACACACCCACAGGTTGAGTGTGAATCTGGGAAAGCCCTTGGCTTGGACAAGGAATGGTTCAGCAAAACTCAAGGCTTTGATAGTTACTTCAAACTGACTTTTGTAAACACGCAGAGGAAAAAGGAAGATGCTGGGAAAGTTCTTTTGACATTGGAGAGGATGTTAAGCTCTCTCTATGACAACTGAATCACTGGCTCCCTTTCCAGGCATCAGAGTAACCAAAAAATGATTTGAACTTTAAAATTAMCAGGCTGTTTGGTGGGAGAGAAACAGCACTACTGCATCCCTACCAAGTTATTTTTATGTAATACAGACACATGTGCTTCCTGTGTCTGGTTTGGACAAAAGCAGAGCAGTAAAAACCTTGGGGCTGTGGTTGTAAAATCCTCTTTCAGAAATTCTCAGCATCTCCCTCTTTTAGCCTAGAGCTTCAGTTCACCCCTGTGAACGGGTCTGGCTAGCAGCACCATCAGACAGACCACAGATGGCACGAGAACATGAGAAAACCTTCACCACCCCTACCACCAAAGGGAATTTTATCAGCATAGTTGATCTTTTCACTATTTTGGCCCATGAGAAWCCAGAGCAGAAAGCATCTCTCCCACAGGCTGATTCATCCAGCAGTGACCTGTGCCAGCTCCATCTGACACAGAAAGGCTCAGGACAATCACAGGATTCATAAATTCAGCCAGTGCAACATGGATTTGGGGATTCCAGAAATGAAACATCAGATATTCCACAAGGGTCACAAAAAATGTCTCTATTTTGATGTGTATATATATATATATATATATATATATATATGTAAGATCTTTATATAATCTCTCACCACAACATTATGTTATTCAAACACCTCTCTATCTGTATATTAAATAAATGCTGGTAACAATTATTTTTGCTCTTTGGAAATCAAATAGTCCCAACTACACAGGAAGAYGTGGTCAAACAGGGGACTCTTCTTTTCAGCCTAACACAGCAYAAATGTGAAATGTTAAATGCTTCATTTCTCCAGGAAGTTTCTCTTGGATGACTACACCCAAGTGAAACTGAGAGAAGTTTTATTTTCTTTTTTTTTTTTTCTGCAAWGAACTAAGTGAACATTTGAACCTAATGTTTCCTTATCCTTCTGTACCAAAAGCAAGTTTGGACATTTGACTGTTTGAAGCTCCAAAGGAGTATCTTTATTTTAACAAAAGGAAAAAAACCAAAAGAAACAAACAAAAAATAAAACAGAACAACCAAACCAAGCCAACAAATAGCWGCAAAAATCAATTAATCCTTCCACAACTGGAACCATCACTGCCCTCTACAGTCTTTTGGGAAAATGCTGCTCACCAACCAACTCGAGCTATTCCATTAACATACACAGATGAATGTTCTGTGGCTTTAAACTACCCAAAGTTAAAAACTGATTTAAAGCCAGTTTTTTTGGCTACATTGTCTTTCCAATTTCATGCTGAACTTTTACTACCTCAAGCCTKTATTTTATGGGGCTGCCTAGGGTACCACAGTGATATGCAGATCCAATCTGTCTGAGCAGAGGAGGGGAGCCCAGTCTGGTCCCCAGGGGAAGCACCTTGCTGGACCCAGAACATTGTCCAGGAATGTGGAAGGATGGCCACAAACACCAGGGCTGGTGCCAAACCACCAGTCCCAGCAGGAGTTTAATCAGGAGTTGGAAATCATCAGCTACGACGTGACGTACGACTTCTCAGAGCAGCTAGGAAATCAGAAGTCAAAACATGACCCCAAAAAAAAATCCCAACCAGAAACAGGCAGGAACTGTAGTACTTTACAGTAAGTCCTCTTTGGAAATCTGAGAACTGGGAGAGAAKAAGGGGAAAAACAAAACCAGTCTGAATAACGCATTCTTTCTACTCTTCAAAAGCAGAGTATAATGGGCTGCATCTTGCCCATTTCAGAACATCTCCAACATGACAGGAAAAGAGGGAACATCCTCTGTCAAAGCAGCAGCAGGCAACTTCCATATTAGGCCAGCATTTGTGGGCTGTTTTTGAAAGGCAGTGAGAGGGGTGGGAGCAGAGCCAGGGGCTGGCACCATCCATGCCAGGAGGGCTCTGGTGCCAGGCTCAGCTCCCCGGGGCAGCCCCAGCAAAAGCATTTCCAGAGGCAGCACAACACAAACCTCCAGCCCCACTTTGTCATCCCTGGCCTCTTGGGAACAAAGCACAATGAAGCCAGCCTGGGACAAACCTCAGAAGATATTTTTCRCTTTGCAGGCCTGTTTTTGCATATATAAATTATTTGGGGAAGCATTATGGGACAGCAGAAATGTGGAAATGGCTATTTTGATGCACAGTGCAGACAAGCTGTCTGACTTCAAGACACATYTGCCTGTTTTCAATGAGCTTCACTATTCAGTTTAAGCCAAATTTTTTGGCTACACAGAAAAAAAAGGAGGAAAACAATTGTGAYGCTGGGTTTCATGTCAGTGAATGCACAGCCCTTCCAGTCCARGTATGTGCCATGTCCAAAGAAACAAGACAAGGAATGCCCAGAAACATTTCCAAACTGCACAGCCAAAGCCCCAAGGGTTTGATTTTGCAGTGGAGATCTCATTCAGCATTTCCAATATACCCTCTAACAGGCTGGGATCTCAAACCCAATCATCTCCTCTCAGCTGAAGACTTGGCAAAAAAAAAAATCTTTGGTTGGACCAGAAGCAGATTTAGTTTTGGGAATAGATTAAAGTTTATGTTGGAAAGAAGAAACATTTATTAAAAAAACCCCACACTATAAAGCAATCAAGGCTGGATTAGCATCTGCAGTSCCTGGCTGAGAACTCAGCAGGCTCCAAAAGCATCTCTGCTCAGTCCATGGTGATGAACCTCCACCAAMTCTGAGCATGACCTCCTCCTAAGAGGCCAAAGGATTTCTGAAAATATTAATTCCAAGACAGGATGTTTTCATTTCCCTCTTAAGATAAGGAGTTGGATCATCCCCATACTTAGGGATATTCTATCAGATCTAAATATTAAATCTAAAGTGGGAACCCTTCCCACTCAAACCTACCAGGAAATCATTTTTGCCAGCTTCGTTATGTCATCAGAGTGGACACAGCTCAGGCAGAAGAGCCCAGAACTGCAGAATGGTATGATCACAATGAACAGGGACACKGAATTTTCTTTTGGCTCAGGAGTCAGGCCAACCTTCCTGCAGTATCAGGACAGCTGCTGTGCTGCTGGAAGCTCTGCATTAGCTCAAGGCAGCCTGGACTGAGATCAATGGCCTTGTCTAATGACATAACAGATAAGTGACGTTTCCCTCCCAGAGCAGCCAGGCCCTGGCAGCATCACAGGATAATGACACAGATAAACAGCTACCCTGGGAGATCTCCTGATGCAGAAAAACCCTGTTACAGCCTGCGCTGGAGAGACAAACAGAGGGATCGATTAAAAAAACAGGATTTGCTTTACAGCCAAAAAGAATGATCAGAATTCCTTCAAAACCAGGCAGGAGAGCACCCAAAAAGGCACATACTTGACGTTGGTGTTGGTGCAGATGATGTACTCGATCTCRTCRGAGTAAGGGTTCTGGAATGTGAAGCTGCTGGTTCTGATCAGCATCCATTCGCGGTTTTTGGTGCGAAAACGATACATCACAGACAGCACCTGACCTTTCAGCTTCACCACCTGCAAAGCCATTTGGAAAGGTTAATAAAAGGAGATTGCTTCCTGCTGGGCAAATGAACACTCAACAGCAGCAACTGCTACATTTTAAACCTGAATTACARAAAGCTACGGACACAGCAGAGAAATTCTTAATCCTATCTCTGTTTACAGCTATTTCCTTCTGATTGAAATCCTCATGCTTTGTCACATAAAATGCCATTTTCCAGTCTGTTTATAAGAAGAATACAGATCCAGGACATCAGATCATGCTGTTATCTCAACACAGAATCTTTAAGAATGTTTTAATGTGTAATACCAAGAGACTGACAGAAACCAAACTGAGGATCTTCTAAATGTTTATAAGTAAACCATAAACCAATCACTGCAGCTAAASCAAAGCCTACAAGAAAAGCCATTTTAAGGTTGTCTGCTTCTCTCCTTGGATACCCAGCTATACATTTAATATATGTGATAAATCAGCAACAACCTTTAGGAAAATGCTTAAACACAACGGTGTTTATTTTTTTTGTTTTTTTAGAAATCATCAGGGGCTTGTCCCCACCTCCTGCCTCAAACACATCAAAAGACTCTCCAGGATGGCAAATTGCTAAAAAGAARCTCTTCTGGGTTCATAAGAAAAATAAAAGAGTGAGACAGTGTTTGAATGGAGAAATAAATCACTGTCCATTTTAACAGTATTAATGAAAATACAGGGCAAATTCTTTGCTTGCACAGCCCACTTAGAACTACATTATAACTAAAAATTCAGATGTGAGGTTTGGTAGCTGAACCTTTGTTCAGTCAGGCATCAAGTGAGGATTAAGCAGCAGCCAATCAAAGTACATTCAAAGAAATGCAACTGCATTTTATGTGTTACTCAACAATCTCAGGTTAAAGCCAGAAAAAACTTCCACGGTTTTAAATYATTCAGCTGGCACTCACCTGGCCTATCTCTGTATTTTATAGCTTTTCCACCAAGCTATCTCAGGGCTGCCTCAAGGAAGGAAAGGGAAGGTCTACTGCAAATAAATGCCACATCTTGTGGATTCTTAATCTTTAACATCTGGAATTCACTTTTTATTAGCTATCTGCAGCCTGTATACTCTAATAGCAGAAGTGCCACTATTTACCCTCTGTCTTTATGGACAAGCAACTGGATTAAGAAAAATGTGCCAATCCTGTTTTCTTCAGAGGTTTGCATTTCAAATTGATCAACTGGATATAGGATTAAATGGAAGGAATGCAAACAGAAGACACAACAAACTTTAGCAAAGCCCAGGAAAGTTTAAAATCATACTGAAGTAAATGACATTTGGCTGGTTTTATTGGGGTTTTTTAAATGCTTTTACAGGGTTTTTCTGAGTTCACTGAGCGACATTCTTTTATCAGCAATTTTCTGCTACCACACCCAGGGTAGAAACCACAGAGCTGGTGTAGAAGTGTGMAATCTGAAAGTGTCCCACTGGGTACCCACCAGCTGTATGCTGGACTCTTTGATATTAATCTGTGTTTGTTCATCTCAGCCTTGAGAATATCTTACTCTGGCCTGATTTTTCCCACCCTGATGAATGAATTTATCTTCCTGAGGAAGTAAAACTCTGAGATAGGCACTGGCAATCGACCAAAAATTGCAAAACCCTCCCTCCCTCCTCTGTTACACAGCACTCTGGCTCTGACACTGTCAGCAAATTAGAAGTGTCAGGTTTTCAGGCTTTAGAAAAAAAAAAAAGGAAAAAGAGTTTAGTTGAAATCACAGTTACCTTTTTAATTAAGAGATTTCTAAGTCCAAACTAACAATAATAAAACACATGGCAGTGATCTGTTACATTAAAACCTCCATTAAGCAAACAGTAATTCTGTAATAATATATAAAGCAGAGAGATCACTGGTGGGAAAAACCTGAACTGTCTTAGGACAGAGCACACAAACAAACCAGCACCAAAAATTTCAAAGCCAGTGATTAAACTTTACTTTCTTATACCCTTTGGAAATAAAAACCACCTGGTGAAAGCAAAGACTGTTTACTTCAGCCATTTATTGCATGATGGAAATAACAGCCCCAATCATACTGCTACTGTACAAGGAATTAGTGTTGAAAGTTCCATGTACAAAGAATTAGTGCTGAAAATTCCATGTACAAGGAATTAGAGCTGAAAATTCCATGTACAAGGAATTAGAGCTGAAAGCTCCATGTACAAGGAGCTCCTTTACAGTACATCAAAAATCATCTGTGCTGGCAGAGAACTCGGTTACAAACAATCCAGTGCACAGAGGGATGGAAGATCTTCCAAATCAACAGCTCACCTTGCAAGGTAAATAGTTTTGGTTACCACTTAACATAGTGGGATCAACACAGGTATCTCCAGAACAGCTCATCCTGTGCAGCAAAAATTATTTTYTTTTATAAAAGGCAAACAAAATATATATTTATTTCTGAATATACTGTTAACACATGCTGCAGTTCAAACTACCTGAACTGCTAACTGACCAATACTTTTGTATCTTGCCACAGCCTTCTCCTCCATAAAACAAAAGAAATACCTTTACAAAATAAAAACTACTTCTGTGGTCAAAATAATAACAAAATAATAAAGTATTGAACAAAAGGAGCAGGACACAGYACCTGTTGGAAGCTCTCTCGCAAATGGCTTTGATCTTCAGGATGGCAGAATTCTAAAATATCTTTTCCGAGAAGATCCTGRAATAAAACGTAAAGATGTGTAAAAATCCCAAACCACAACACAAATCYGTGTGCTGATCTACAAGCAATTCTTGCAGACACAACATCTACCACCCTTAACTCAGTTAATCAGGGATGAACCACACAAACTGCATTTGTAGGCATCACGTTTTTATAAAAATATTTAAGTGATTTTCCAATCCTGGTGACATCCACTACYACAGCTTACTTTATGGCACTAATTTTTGTAAAAGCAGTTATTATAAAGCTATTAAAAATATATTGAAAAGCAAATGAACAAGGAATTACTTTTSCCTCTAAATTGCAACTGTTGGGAGCCATCTGAGGGAGGGAGAGCTGTGGCTCATTTACTATTCCACTCAGCTCTGTATTAGCCTCCTGTTCAGAGGAGCAGATGTAAGCCTAAAGGAAAATAGATGCTGTAAATTATGTTTGCTTACTGTTCAAGAGACTGGCAGAATCAAAGGTCTACAGGACTAAAACTCTCTCCAAGCCCTGTTAACTTTCTATCACAGAAATGTCTTCATGGAAAGCTGTGCAAGGTTCAGAGCACGCTGCTGTTAGAATTTTAATCAGATTTAAAGGTATAAAGAGAGGCACGGACAGCAAAGAAAAACAGTGCATGATGTATGAATTATCAGCTACCAATATTTGCTGTTTGCAAATGGAATTTTCTCCRTTAGCTCAGCCCATTCTCCACGTGGCAGTGGTCACAGACCTGGGGCTGGTAGCCAATGACACTGATGCACCGTGGGTCCACGAAGGTGATGACTCCATCAGAGTTGTGCCTGGACAGGAACTCCGTGGGGACAGACATGCCATTCATGTCCATGCACACTGGAGAGCTGGTCACCTGGGGCCAAGGAAGGACACAAAACWGTCACCTCCAGCCAAACTGGATTCCTCAGCTGAAGAACAGAATCTGCTGGCTAACTACTGAGGGCAATCATCAATAAAGCAACAGCACAGATAATGACAGAGCAGCCTTTGGGCCGCTCTGCAGGGCAAATATCTCACCCCATGGCATCTGTTAACAACACAGCAGAGGAACAAACACACCAGGAGCTGCCCAGAAGGAGGATACAGTGAGGATGTGAGTCCAGCTGCATTCATCCCTGTGCAGCACACGGTGGTTCCTGTCTCTGCCAACCAAGAATGAGAGACTTGCAGAGGACACTGCAGTCCTCTCATTTTAGAACAGGAACCCAACCCATTATCTGCAGACATAACCAACAGGGCTGCTCCTAAAACTCATGTTTCAGGTGACATGAATCTCACCTGAAACATCCAYAGAGTCTGAACCAAGTCCTCCAGAGGCTGAGGTAGGGGATATTACACCAGCAAGTGGTTGCTCATAACAAAAATCACAGCTCTCTACATATTTCTCAATTSTCACCAGAGAGAACAATGCATTTTCAGCTCTCTGCCTGAAATCTGTGCTATCAGGCCACTTCACATCCATTCTTTCCTACTGGAGCTACACGTGAGACCATTGGTTTCCTTACTTCCAGAGCTCTCTGCTAACAGTGCAAAATGAGCAAAATCTCTTTTTCTGCTAACTTAGAGCTGATTAGCCAGTTAAYCATATGCAAGACTTCAACCTGCTGTTACAGAACAAGAGTTTTTATTTYGTGCACCCTGACTCCTCTGTGATTTAACCCACCACAGAGCCTCCTCCTGCTCTTCCTCACATCCCAATGGCTCTTCTAATGTAACAGACGTTGTTACATTACTTGGAAATCATCTTTCTTTGGAAGCTGTAACATATRAACCCCTCAAAACCTCCTTCTTTCCATTAGTGGAATATATTACTCTTGATTATGAAAGCATGATTAACCTARAAACCATCCTGCAGTACTTCTGCAGCTCTGCCATGGCCATGGAGAGCCAYTCTGCAGGAATGCCAACACTTGCAGGGTGCTCAGCTCAGGTGAGATGGGTTTGGCACCCGTGAAAGGGTCACTCCACCTTGGCAGCAGGAGGCTCTGCCCTCCTAGCAGATGGCAGCGAGTGCAGGAGATCGTGCAAGAGGCTCAAACATGTCACCCATGGCACAATTCCCAGAGCAGGAATATMAAAATCAGCATCCCTGCTGTGGTGAAGGAGATTCACCTCGACTGTTTCAGCTCAGATTGCTGAACTCTGCTCAGCAATGCACAAAGGAAACACACTGCAGGAATTGCAACCGTCTGCACAAAAAACCAAGTAAAATTTTATTCTCCCAGCTCCTTCAGCTCACATCTCATCTGAATGCACAACACAATACGTGCTGAGAATAAAGCCATGATTTCTGAAGTGCCTCTTGACTACTTTACCATTTTCACAATAACTCCTGCAATCACAGTTTTTCAAGCAGTTGATTAGCCAGAGAGAGAGAATGAATGGGCAAATGGCAGGAGCATATCACTGCTTTGGGAGGCACTTTAACCCCACCTGCAGCACCTGCACTGCCATGTTTCTCACTGCCCACAGAATGCCAGCCCTACATCCCAAAGAATGGCAGCTCTGCACACACTCATGTGCAGGAGCATCTCTGCTGCTGTTACTGGATTAAAACACAAATGCACCAAAATCACTGTTCCATTTCCCTCTGTTGGCATGTTTTAGAAAGTCACTAACTGCAAAGACATCAAGGCACTTTATAAAATGAAGCAGTTTAAAAGTGACACTCTAGTASCAAAATAGTGTGTAAAACTTTTATAACTGAAGCAGAAGAGTGATCATGCTTTCAGAAATAGTTTATGTATGGAAAGACTGGCATTACCTGAAGCCTTCCTATTGCCACGAGGCAGTATTTACTACCTTGTCCCACATCAGCATCTTCTTCTGGTATAGTCATTCCTGGAGTAAATGATAACAAATACTGTTATAATCAGGAAATTGGGATAAACAGAGATGCTGCTCTCCTGGCTCTGTACTTTTCTAGATGCTCTATGTCTTACAAAATAACCTTATTTTTTYCTCTAGGATTCAGTCTTTATTTCTGGGTTCAGATCAGACGATCCTTCTCAGTTGTGCTCAATCCTACATACCTCAGACACATATGCACAACACCAACCACAACAATTTTGGCTGCTGAAGACAAAGCAGATATTAAAATCCCATTATTCACTGAGATGAACGTTAAYATTTCCATGAGTGCTGCTCCACCAGCATGTTATGGAACCACGGGGTCACTTMATATGGTCAGTGAATGCACATTATGTTCAGTTTTCTTTGTGAATAATAGTTTATAATGAGCCTTAAAAAAAACCAACTAATTCTGTGCTCATATTCAACAGCTGGTTTTGCTTTTTTGTATAACTAAACCTGGGCCGTTACGTTGAAAGACACAAAAACGCTTTGCTAACAGTGCTCGTTCCGGTTGTGTAACAGGAGTAACTACTACAAACACAGGAGTAATTTCACAACATACATGTGTACTATTTTCCATCTCAGTGCTTCATAAATAGGAACATTCAGATTACTGCTTATTTGCCTTTAGTTAAGGCTGTTTCCCAACTGGAGTATTGAGATACCAAGTTCGTATAAAACACTCACAGAAACGTCTTCCAGGAGTGACACCACTGCCCTGTTTTAAGTGATCTGTAAACTCTTTCACAATGATTTTTAAGGAATTTGGTCATAACAGGCAGTGAATCATTTGAGAAGCACTTAAAAGTGCAAAGCAGCTACCAATTCTGAAACAACAACCACTTTATTCTCTAAATTTATAATCCCCAGTGTAAGTCAATCTTTGGACAGTGCAGAGGATGACAGTCCATCCCTTTCTTAATGACACCTCTGAAAATGCTGCTGAATGAACTGGAGCCATCTCTAAGGATGTCATTTTGTATCAAAATAATTTATTCTTATCTGACAATCAGTTTGCAAATAGCACTCTACAGGTATTTTCTGGCCCTATTTTTTTGAACTATGTAACAAAATAAAATAAACAAAGTAGGAAAGAAAATGCCCCATGTTCTTGTGTAACACATTCAAACTTGTTCTTCAATTAATTTCCCAATCTGGGGGGCACAACACTTTTGCAGTYCCCTATGAATAACTAGAATTTTATCAAGGTGTCTCAAGAGTTTTACAAATAAGRAGCATTATTGTCCCATCTAACAAGTGCTCTTTTAAGGACACAACTCTAGGCACTGTAGTTGATAACCTTAACCAAAAGATCCCTTTCAAATGGAGTTTTYCACTTGAAAAGGACAAATTTCAGGTATATTCCCTTGACCTCAAAAGCTTTTGCAGTCATTTCCTTAGTGGCACAGAGTATTGCAAAGGACAGCAAAGATACAGCTGGACAGCTTCCGCTGTGCAAAATCTCTTTTTCTCTGCAGCTTTCAACAATGCTTTCCTTTTTAGGAACTTGGTCCATGCTTGCTACTGCTCAAATAAAATCAAAGTAACATAAACAACCTCCAAAATTAAACACAGCTAAGAAACATTACTTCTGATGTCACTGTTTACAAAAGGAGGCTGTTGTTCTAATTTTTTTTTTTCCTTTTGTCCAAGATGGATTACATTTAGAYTGTACAGCACACCAGAAAATGTATTAAGTGGGTTATGCCACTRGACACGGTGTGAATAAAAACCAATCTGTCTGGAATTAATCAATACATGACCTAGTGGACTGCAAACCCCTTCCTAAAGCACCTAGAGAAAAAATATGACAAAATGATTGCTTCTCTGCAATGCAGGTGCTATTACTGGCAGCCATTTCAGAGAGAAAAATTATTTTCTTTATTCTTCAGCTGATATTTTCAAATATTCCACACTCTGGGTGTGTTTATATGGGAAGGTGCAATTGTAGATGAGATTTACATTTGCTTTAGCACATTTCCTGTTGTCCAACACCTCTTTGTCCAGCTCTTAACACAACCTAATATTGCTCCTTAACATCAACCAGTACCATCATCACCTCCAAAAAARGTCATGAGAGCTTGGAGGAATGCAGCCACAAAACTGATCTTCAGGGGGCATCAACAAAACAAACACACTGCAGTTCTTCACATTCTTTGTGTGTAACCCTGYGAGAGGCTTTATTTCCCAACACCAAATATACACCCTTCTCCAATAATAAACACAGYGCTGGGCTTGCCTGAGTTCATATCAACAATTGGCACGGCCAAGCTGCAACTGAGCATCACAAATAGAATGCTGTGCTGTCAGAGGTTAGATTGAATTTCCAAGAGTCCTTTACACCAGCAAAAAGCTTCCCACAGGGCAGCAGCATGTGTTGGGGTGGATTTAAGGAACTTTTTCGTTTTCCCAATGAGTTTCCAGTTGGCTCTAACAATAGAAATGCTTAATTTTCTGCCTTCCTCCTCTACCCTTCTGCCCCGTATTTTCTGTCAAAGAACAACGCTAGTGGATTTATGGTTTTATTTCATGACACTAAAACAAATTATTTATAATTCTTTAGAAAGATGGAATTTGAGTGTCCAGTGRTCACTACCAATCCCCTGTTAAAGCTTGTCTCCATCAGAACTGTTTTTGAGTTACTTGCCAGGGAAGAACTGCACTGTGTGACTTTATCTCCCATACAAAACAATGGAAAAAGGCTTGCACAAAAAAAAACTGTGGAGAGCATACCAAGGATAAAAATCTCATGAAAAATCCCAATAAAAACTAATTTCATCTTTCTTTAAAAAAATAAATAAAGCCTTAAAGATGACAGCACGGCAAGGAATATTCAAGCAACTATTTTGTTTTGTATTGGACAAGGGAGTACTTTGCACAAATGTCCAGATTTTGGCTAAAACTTTAAAATAACCTAACAGCTTTGGCATGCTGTGGTTAAGATGTTACCGTAAGTCTGACTTGGAAGACTAAAATGTTTCTTTTTTAACCAAAGATTAAAAAAAGATTTCAACATTATCTGAATTTAACATTATTCAGTGACTTTTTATTGGATGTTTTCGAAACATGTATCTGAGTCTTTCCTTCACTATGTGTTTTTCTGCAGATCCTGGCTTTGATTTACAGAAATCTACCAACATCCTGACAGACTTTATCTTCTCTCTCCAACAAATCTTATGGCATGAAAAAAAAAACCAAAAACCAAAACAAACCTATTAGGAAAATATCATATGGACCACAGAAGACTCATTTCCTTCCAGGAATGAGATATTCAGAGGTGAAAAAAACACAGAAGAAAAGCAAATCTTGCTTAAGTTAAAAACGGGAAAAAAGCCCAGGAGAAGCTCAGCACTTCTCAGTTTTATGACTGGTTATGAACATGAAGCACTGTCTAGGCTGAGGATCACAAGTTCTATGTGTGCTGCTTTGCTGGGAACAGAGGGACAAAGGCTGGAATTGCTGCTCACAGAGTTTCAAACAAGGTCCTTTTACCTCATTTGAAATAATTCAGTGCTTTGTTCTCATTATTCATTCAAACACCCAACAGGACTGGCTGGAACATCCATCTGAATAYCTGACTCCTCTTTCCTTTGACTTTCCCACCTGATTACTTGAGGATAACAYATAAAATCCATGTGGATATGAGTGTGTAGGTGTCTTATGCCAGGTTTTGCCTGGCATCTTAATTTTATCTGTCTTTTTAGGCACAATGGAGGAAAATGAACAGAACATTAACACACAGACTGAACTGAGGGCAATGCATGATGCTTCCTGTGTTTTTTTCTCCCCTTTCTCAGTGAAAAAGGGGCTGGAGATGGTCTGCCAGTACATGAGCCCTGCTGCTCCAAAGGTAAACTGGAGATGTAAAAGTGTTTTCATGCTGAACCTGAGCATTAACACAACAAACCCAGTCCCTAAAATATGCCACCAGCTGTCTGTAGGTTACTCATTTTCACCTGCTTGAAGTACTCAGATTACCTCAGATTTGCACAGACTCCTCACTGCAGCAGCACTGTCAAATTGTCTGCCCCACTAGTAATGATCCCAGAGCAGGACTGGGTACTTCTGTATCAACACAGATGGTTTTATCCACGTGGACTAAAACAACTTAACACTGGCCACAGACAATGCAATTCAACCCAGAAAGAGAAAATACCAAGTGCTAACCAAATGAGACAAAGTGCAGACTAAGGGCATTTGATAATATTTGTCCTTTTGCTTATGAAAGTACACTTTGTATTTTATATTAACTATATAATGCACGACAAGCTGCATGCTTTGAAAGAAAAGGATCTGSAGTTTACATTAGAGTGTCCACTTGGCAATAGAAAAATAAATGAAAATTATCTTTTCGATCGTGGAATTTTTAAGCAGCTGTGATTTAGCACAAGCCCATTTATTCCTAAGAATCCAGAGACAATGCAGGGCTTGCTGATTTGAACAAAGTAATTTTATTAYAGAGTAGAGAAGCCTTGGCAAATTCCATTACTGCTGTGGTTATCTCATTTGCTTTGCAGATTATGGTTGGATTATCACTGGAAATGAGAACAAATGCAGTGATGTTGTCACTTATCTACTCAAACATATAGGGGRAAAATCTAGCCCATAGATATTCCCATTAAACTCTGAAAGTCAATGGATACATGACAGTCACCAACACAAAGTGGGGAAGACTGGAGGGCAAATAAACACTCATGAAAAAAACCCCAAATCAGTGCTATGTGCTCTGAAAAAGGCACTCAGACGTGACTAACATGAGTAACAATTTGGATGGTAACATAAAAGACCACTGARATTCCACACAAGGCTGTCAAAATCAAAACCATCCCTCAGGATTGTGCTATAGTTTGGAGGCATTAACRTTGTGGAGGAGAGCTGGGATATCATAAGGGAGCACCATGTGATTCTCAGAAGTGGAGTAATAGAAATGGGATGAAATCCAACATTACTAAACACAGAAACATGCACTTGGGGAACAGTAACAGTCATAAGCTAAAGCAACAGAAATAGGAKGGAACTTGATATTCCTAATTGAAACATCACCCAATTCAAAGCAAGATCAGCAGCTGACAACTGAGAAAAAGGCAGCWGGTCTGTGTATCTGTTTATTCCAGGTGACTTAGGATGCCTGCAGGRTGCCCCACACAAAAGAGAAGGATGCTGTGTCCCACACTGCCAGGCAAGCCAGGAAATATTGTGTTATCCATCACTACAATCTTGTCTGAAACAAGAATGAATAGTGCCAGTGACCTACATCTGGAGAAGCAAAGTGAAAACATGAACAACTGCAGAGAAAAGTCACAAGGGTGAAGAGAATGCACTGTGAGAATGGCAAGTAGAAGTGGGCTGGATTGTCTTTGCAAAGTCCTGACAGGATTCCTCCTTCTGGAAAGGCAMCAGGACACTGGAGAGGGACAGAGGCACAAGGGACAAAACTCCCATTTGACCTTCAGTCAAATAAAAGCTTCCCATAAAGTAATGAGGACTGAAGATTAAAGAGGCTCTCAGGCATGGGAAAGCAGAGTGGGGAAAAGACCTCACCAACACCCATGGGATTTGCAACGGGATTGATCCCTGGCCACTGGGCACCCAAAAATCCACAAAATCCTTCTAATCCCACGCTCCTGTCCTGCAGACCTGCTGGCTGAAGGATAAACACTGCCAATGCCAGGACCTAGTCCTGACCATCTGCAACTCAACACACCCCTGAACAGTCAGACCTCTTTAAACATCCCATAACACGCTGCATCCCTTATTCAAACTAAACAAAATCTTACTTAACCTACACCTTCCTGAGGAGAGCTCCTGTATATCAACGAGGAATGTAATTATGTTTGGAATTACCAATAGGAAAGTAAATCTCTTTGGGGAAGAAAGCAAAAAGAAAAAAAAAATCTATTTTCAGAGCACTTTACACACACGGTGCTCTCACTCTTTTGAGATAGAAGCAAAATTGAAACATCTTGACTCCTATTAAAGCATAGTTTTCTTCTGCTTCCAAAACCGCATTTCAGCAGAAAACCAACAAGAAGTTCACATCTGCGTGCTGGTATCTGCACACATTTGGTACAAACCACCTCTTAGGACTCATAATCCCTGCATCAATGTGATTTATGGCCGAGGTGTTCAACCACAAAGGRGCAGGACAGCTCCTGGTTTGATTGATGCCAGCAGGCACTGTCACATTGTAAACAAACTCTTCAACTCCTGCAAACGCCAAGGTCGAGTAACCCSGCTCAAAATGAGGTCTGGATGAGCTCCACTGTCTCCYCTCTGAATKTTTCAAAGGTAAATATTCCCATATGTAACACTGAGTTCCAGCAGGTAAATGTTTTTCTCCGTAGATCAAAGCCATATGCCAAGACACAATTCCCAGAAAAAACAGCCTCAAAAGAGAATTTATCACAAATACTGAACAKTCTCACCACTGTGAACACCCATGTGCCTGAACTGAAATTGCACATTGTCATATACAGGTGCTTGCAGCACAGTACATGAGTGTAAAAGCATTAAATGGTGTTTTCTAGAGATACTAGAGTGCTTTGTGTCCATCTTTTTAAAATCAGACCATTTTTATGTTGTTKTATCAGGTTGAAAACTTTTGGTCCCATTTGCTGGAATCCTGCATTAATGGCAAATGCTACAGTTGCTCTGCGACAATGTAATTGAGAAGGGTGTCCCACAAAAAATTGAGTAACAACAGCTGATTTGTTCATATCAAAAGCTTTTCAAGGTGAGCTTTAATCAGTTACCCCATTGAAATTCCCATTTTTCTAGCAGCAAGGAAACCTGAGCCAGGKTTTCAGCTGTCCCAAGGACAGTTTGGTGCACACCACCTTCCACAAGGGACACAAACCTGCTGGTGGCCAAGCCTTGATGTAGCCAGTGCARTGGACAACAGCATACTGTGCTTCACCTTCTTTCACTGGGCCCAGGCCATTCCTAAATGAACAACAAACAATAGCTTTATTGTTTCAAATTGTGACTACCAACAATTTACCGGTATTTGTAAGTTATGTTGGAAACACCCAAGTGCCAACCTAGAGCTCTGCACACCTCCAGCTCTGTTATGTTGCTATTCAAGCTGGGCTTATTTTCTCTGATATTTCTCTGAGAAAGATACTGAAGATTAATTTAGAGATGAAGCTGGTGTAAGATAAAGAATTTCAGTGAGATGTGCAAAGGGATTTTGTTTTCAAAAAAGATCCACTGTGTGCAGGACCAGGAAACACTCCTGCAGTGGGCATTAGCCCAGTGGCAAATGAGAGTGCCAAGGGCAACCACAGCTGCTTTGTGGTAAATGAAGTGACAGTACCTGTATCTTTTTCTCATGGTGGTTATTCTGTTCAGAGGCAAATGATCCAGAGGAGCATTTCCACACCTAAAAGCAAATTCATATTGTAAAAGGTTCAAAAATGAATGTAAYTACACACAACAAAAATGCATTTTGAGATCTTAATTACCATATATAAGTAGACAATAATGGATATTTAGTTCTGCCAAAAAGCTGCATAGTTGTGTTTTCTTAGAACATAAAGCTGAACTTTTTAAGTGTGCTACMAATATTTTCCTTATTTTAGAAAAATGAAAGAGACTGGAGAAAGATTCCCTTCCACACTCCCCCAACCCAAAGACCGTTTGAAATTGATATCCCAGTGGTGGCTAAAAGACAGACACATTTCAAAATACCATAAAACATTAGAGAAAAATATGTCAGACTCCCACACAAACCAATCTCMGGGTTCCTGGAGCTTCCCTGGACAGAAAAATTCCACTGCCACACACCAGCTACAATGTTTGTAGACATTAAGACAATGTTTGCAAGATCAAACTATTTACACTGTCAAGAAACTTTAACACTTGTTCATGAGTATTTTGTGATATTTGTAAGTATGCCTAACTGTATAATTTCAACAATCCATCTGAAGCTGAGKAAATAGTTTGCAGGGTAAAAGCAGTTCATTTTCAATGGGAAAATAATAACTACAATAAAAGAAGCAATCACAAGGAARGTTCACATTATCTGAGGCTCATTCTTCCCAGAAAGTTTTCTTTTTATTCCTTTATTTTTTTTTTCTTATCAGTCACTGCCAAGGAGAAGGAATGAACAACTAAAATAAAATTTAGAAATACAAAAACAGTGGGGTTACTGGCATGTGTAATATCACTGTCATGCACTGGAGTTTACAGAATCAGAGGGCTGGGAAGTAACTGCAATCTGAGTTGTTTTGAAAGCTGGGGAACAACTGCAAACAGGACATTAGGCCTGGTGTTCTYTGCACAAACAAGTGCTCCTAACATGATGTTGGGAGGAAGAAAAAGCAATGTTCTCAGTGCTGCCCTGCTGGGCTGCATTTCTTCCCTCCCAGTTAAGGGGGAAAAGATCCTACAGCTCGGAATTCTGATCTTGCAGGTATAAAGAATATAAACACCTTACAAGATCCACACATTCAGCACCCTCACACGACTGGAAAAAATCCAGCACATAACCAAAGTGCAGTTATCTGTACTTTAATATGTCCAATATTTTGCTCTGTGTGTTTCATTCTAGAGTGAATTYTGCATTTGCTGTTTTCAGCATTGATACTGGACACAGCCTACTGATGCAAYTATGTACTTTCCCCTCCTAACCACAGGCAGAAATTCATTGCAATAGCAACAGGCATTTTAACCTGCTAGCACTAAAACAAGAGCAGTGCAAAAGGACTGGGCAGAGAAATCTCTTTAAAGAACCCCAAACAACGCAGAAGTTGGAAAACTGCAAATTAAAAACTCTCTAACAATTACTCATTTATCTAGCATCAGCCAGCTGACATCTGGTTAATTCATACCAGGCTTAGGTTAATTCCTACATAGCTGGCAAGTTTGCAACTGAATTCCTGTTTATCTTCAAGATTCTTTTAATATTATTGGTTTGCTGAAAAAATACACAGAGCTGGGCTTTCATTACACTTGCGAAAGCTTTGTTCCCAAAGTGTCGATTTGAGTCACTTYAGTAGAAAAGACAATGGCTGACATTCCAAGGGTGAAGTTCTCTGGGAAAAGCAACCTACAGCCCACACTGCTCAGAATAACTACAGTGAGGTGCTGTTTGGTCAGTAACTGTAAAGGAAGACTGGTTTCAGTTTTACTCCAGTTCCAAAAGCAAATATTCTAGAAATGCTTCATGAGAGTGTGTCATTAGAGCTTTGGTTTGTAATCAAATTATAATGCAACAAAATGGTTGAMGTTTGATCTGAGATAGGGCTGGAAGATCATGGGATACAGGGGAAGTGCATACCTCATCCTGCAAATGAAAGAACGCCTGGATCCCATGCACATTCTCATCGAGGACTGCTGACCCTCTTTCTTCACTGTCCCAGTCTTCAAGTCCAGGATTCGCCCTAGAAATGCCAGGGAGAGTAACTGGTGTTCAGTACATGAATTTTTACTAGAAACTAAGATAAGTTTATAAGCTGAATGCCATCAGCCCAGTTAGGGGAAAAATTCCAACAAAAAAAGCTCAATGCTGGTTTCACAGGGGAGGATCAGTGATGTGCTGCTTTAAGGAACCATTTCAGCAAAGCTAACTCTGAGTCACTACAGTGATGGCTCTTCTGGCTGGCCCAAGAGCAGCTTCCAAGGCAGAGTCAAATGCCTGGAGGCAAACAAGGCAAYGACAGCAGGCACAGCTTTTGACTTGACCGCTTGCTCCACTCTCTACCAGAATTGTGAATAAAACAACACACATCAAACCCCTGCCAGCTGCTCCTCCTGTGCCTGTGCCTGTCCMGAACACTCTCACCACAGCAGCACCTTGCAGTTAAAGCTGTCAGGATGGGGAGATGCATGTTAAACCAAACTTCCCTCCCTGATGATGAGACTTACAGGATTTGTCACAACAGCACAACCCCTTTAAAGTTGACACAAAGCTGACAGGACCAAGGTGTTTCTGCAGTTAATTTTCAGACAGATCAGTAGATGATTTGATTCACCACACAGCAAGATAAGCCTGTGTAAAATCCAATGCCAGACCCTGCTCCCTACAACCCCCAGAATCACACAGCACAGGCAGAGCTCAGAAAAGGGACAACAGTCACCAAGTCAGCTCCAGAGAGGACAGGACAGAGGCGGTGCAAAGGTAGGAAGAGGGCAACAGATTATTTTGTTCATTTAAAACAGAAGACTAATTACTACAGACAGGTTCAGACCAGAAATTGCAGGACAMTGGGTATCACCCAGAATCCTGCTCATCACCAAAAAACAGATTTTCACAGCTACAGCTCAAGTGCTCAGAGATGACTGAGTACAAAATCCAGCACAGACTAGAAATGACCCGCTGGCCCAGATCCACAATGCTCAAGGGCTGGAAGCAGCCACAAAAGTGACAGTGGGCAAGAGAAATGCAGTGAACAGCTGCCAGGCAATTAATGCCAGCCACCAGTGCTGACAGCCCACACATGAGCAAAGCCACATGTTTAACGTGGCYATCTCTCAGGAACTGACACCAAACAAACCTCATCTTCACTGTGCTGTAACCAGCCAGGTTTACAGCAATATTAGGTACCTATTCTGTCTGTACTGAATTAAAGAAAACATGCAGAGTATGTTCTAAATCTCCCTCACCAGACTGACCTAAAAGTCTCTGTCCAAAAATTAAGTTCTGAAATAAACCCACTGCCAAACACTAAGTTCAGAATTACTCTAAATATTTACTTCCATCCATGAATGGGAATGAAATCATCACATAATAGTTTAAAGATTAATGTTTTAGATAAGGAATTAGGCAGCAGCATTTCTGTTTTAAGGTATACTCCAGAAAATTCCTTCTGGAGGAAAGCCACCCCTCCCAAGAGAAGGTCAGATGTCTTTTGGTGTATCCCCAAGGTGTATCCCAGATGGTTAAGAAGTCAACAAGCCTGGAAGAAATTTCTAAAAGAGCTTGAATTTAAAGCACTGGGCAATGTATTAATCCTGGTCTATGATTCAGGTGTGAGCTGGGAAGAATTCACAGCACATTTCCCAGCTCAGCTGTGCTGACACCACAATGTGGATGGATCTGAAGTTCTAACACACTTCCCTTCCCTTAACACACACAGTCTCTCTCTCTCTCTCTCTCTCATTTTCTATAGTCAAAGTCTATTTCCCCATCCCTTCAACTAATCAGACAATTTCGAGAAATAAAATGCCATTAGGCAGGAGGCAAACTGATTCACAAATGAGGGAAATATATAAAAAAGAAAATAAAGACAGAATATATTTGCAGGACCATTGGCCGTCCATGTGAGCACGCCAGTCAAATCCAACCATTAAAAGCAATTCTCAGGGCACAATAACTTTGTCATACACGTAAGCAAAAGAAAAGTTGTTTTCTCTGTACTTTCTTCTTTCATTCCAATACAAATTCTTGAAGACACGCTAATATTAATCAAAAAGCACTGACAGTAAATGTAACTCAAACAGCAAATTAAAAATTCTCTGTTTTTAGCATCCAAGAGCATCTGTTTCAAAACAAAAAAAAAAGGATATTTCACAATTACGTGGCCACTAAGTCTAAAATTGCTGACACATGTTCCTTTGGTATGTCTGGAGCCCCCAACAACAAAAGTCAGAGTTTTTAAATTTAGCTTTTTGTTTGGCAATGTCTTTGAAATATGTACCATATAAYAAACAGAGTTCTAAATTTTGCCCTGACTTACAAAATCACTGYAGGGGGTTTGTGAGTCAGGGAAATGTTTGCTGCCCTGATATTATGACAAAGCTCTTTCAGCAGCTTGTTTCAACAGTCCAGCGTGCATGTGTCAACCTTGCAGAGCTCTGCCAATGTACTACAGATTTTGATACCAAACAAYAACATTTGTTATTAGAATCTTATGATCAAATTCTATTAAAAAGAGGAAGGATTATASATTAATCATAGCTAAATAAAGATATATAGAATTATCATTATAATTATATATGTATATAGATAATATRGATATATMTGTATAGATATGTATATATTATAATAGAGAATTATAATGAATTACAGATTAATAAATCGAGCAAACTGGCATAAATTGCACCTCAGAGTCACACAGGCAGCTCAGTTCAGGGAGGTGGCAGATCCTGATCACAGCTCTGCCACAGAACCATAAAATATTCCTATCTCTGTGTTCCTGCACCCTCGGTGATAAATGTTCATTTAGGTTTCTTCTAAATGTGTTTGTGGGACAAACACAAAGCAYATCTGATATTAAACTCGACACTTACATTCTTATTAATAAGAAATATTCCATGATGCTCTGACAACTTCTGTTAACTGAACAGTGSATGTGTGTATTTTATTTTTTCATTTCTTCTTCCTGTTATTTCAGAAGAGCCATTTAACAGCCCAGTGCCACCACCAGCTGGATCCCTTACGAGTTTCCCCATAAAATGGTAATTGCATGTAGCTCATTTTCCCGTTCAACTTTTCCCCTCTCCAGCTCCAGATACCACCCTGGGATACAGCAAGTGCAGGAGCACTGCTGGGACTGACACTGCTGTCTTATTGCCCTTTCCAGCAGCTGCACAACTCACAGGAAACCAGAGTTAGCTCTGCTGGGATAGGGAAAGCAAACAAATGAGTGCAATGCTGATTAAAACGGGCATATAAATCTCTCTGGCTGGTCCGGGTATAATTGATAATCGGGGTATAATTGATACATCCAGAAGGCAGTATTGCTTCAACCTGGAATAAAATAATTGTTCTCAGGGCAGGAAACCACTGTGTGATCAGGGAGCTGCTGCCACAACAGGACAGGGGTGGCACAGGGACACGGAGGGGACAATGGGCACGTTCACCATTTGGGAAAAATAGAGAAGCCACATAAAGCTCCTTCCACTAAAGAGATAAGCTGGTAACAGACTCAAGTACTGAGGACACAAGCCAGAAACATTCCCTGCAGGGTGCTTTCAAAGATCCTCAAYAAACATTCTCATGATGATCAAGGGGGCAAATGTTCAGTTGGCACGGATGTGCCTCTTGCATGTGCAAACTGATGGATACTGCACAAATCTTCCCTTTTGGATCTCCAGCTGCTACTGAGAATGTTCAAACTTGTTTTCTGTGCTTGCAATGTTTTGAGATCAACCTAAGCCAAGGATTGGTCTGGGCCTATTGAAGTTCATGGGGTTTCAAATCTGGGAGTTTGGCTCAAATCCATTTTCACACAATGGCAGCAGCCTGTTAGAAAATTTGTTCCTCCACGTTTACGCACTGCATGCTAAGGTTTATAGCCTGGTAATCAAACACAGTCTGTTCTTTTCACTTTTTTCAGTTCTTCCTTTTTTTTTGGTGCATTCAAAACTCCATAAACTTCAACACCTAATTTTACCACAAATGCTTTCTCTGTTGGATTTCCAGTTCCTAAGAATGCTGCAGTCWGCAACTTGAAAGAAGGGTTCTTACATAAGGGCATTGTTCTGCAAAAATTTCAGTGCAAATTGAAATGGCTGGGTCTAAAACAACTTTACAATGCTCCCATCCAGTYTGGAGCATGGAAACTCACAGATATTGAGAGAAATTTGTTTTGGCCTCATGTGCACAAAAATACCACTGGCAAAATATATGATACAATTTTCCATTTTCYTCTAAAGCATCAGTAGATGGATTTGTGTCTTGCACAGAATCATGGACCTGACAGTTAAACAGTCTGAATKAATATATGGAGTCTCAATACCTTCAGCAAGGCAGCAAGTTTCATCTTTTAGATGGTAATGTCTTGTCTTACAAAGGAAAAGTTAGAAATTTCATAATTATTCTCAGCCACCAACTGTCCATGTATTTCCTTTCAGGCAAAAAAAAAAAATAAAGGATAAACTAAGTTTGGTTTGGACAAGATAACAAAAGATGACTTTGTGCTCCTCAAAAATACTCCACAGGCTGCTCAAGGAAGACAAACAGGACACAGGATACTGCACCCAAAAATCCTTATGAAAACTAAAACCATCTTTATATTACTTAAAAACTGGAAAAAGCAAGAGAGATGGAGGAAAATAAGAGGAAATAATTAAAAATAAAAATAAAGTGATGGTCAAGGTACTGTTGCTGCTGAACACAGTGCCAAATGTAAGCTCATCCTTGGACTGAAGGGTCAGGGAACAAAGGATTTCTGTGGTGATGCTCTGTGTTAGTACATAAAGTCCTCAGAAATTAGCAGAACAGATCAGGTTTCAGATCTCTGAGTGTTCTGTAGTCTGTAGAGAATCAAGATACAGGTCACTGATTGGGATAAACAGCAAAGTTCAAGAAAACAAGGTGAAACTCTTCTTGAAATTGCCATTTATCAGTTTTCACATACGCACTGACTGCAGCTGAGCATTCAGCCTTACACCAAGGTGCTAAACTRACAGCTTCTTGATAGATCAACATAAAACCTGA